GAGCACACCTGGTGTGAGACAGTGTGAAGGTATGTGGTTGTAGTGGTGACACCAGGAAAAGCGAGGACGTGGATGACCATAAGTGATTCCCTCTGTGGGACCCTGTGCCTCTGTGTGACTCCTTTAGTCTCCAGCGGCTCCTGGGGGGCAGGGTTTCAGGTGTTTGCTCAGTGAGGCCCAGCAGCTATGAGACCCGCCCTGGACAAACACTTAGTTCCCGCTCCAGTTGGGACTGGGACGTAGAGCCTATTGTTCCCAGTCATCTGACTAAGCCACCTTAGAGGGCCTCAGAATGCTTGGTCCTGGGCCCTCGCGGAGGGGCTGCTGGGACTACCTTTCCCTTCTGCTGCTACCTGGTGACGTCACACAGGTCATCACCCAGTCTTCTAGAACAGTGTCCCCAGGACTAGACCTTGTCGCCCTTGGCAACTTGGGAACTTGTTCCACCCAGGTTGGAGCAGGGTTATCCCTGAGCAGGGGGTGGGGGACAAGGGGTCAGGGAGGTGGGGGGCCTTCTCCTCATCTCCCAGCAGGGAGATCGAGGCAGCCATCTGCCTGGTGAGTAGGAATGGCCATCCCTTGGTCCCTTCACCCAGAAACTAGGCAAGACTTGTCCAGGGGGAGGAGAGCTAGGGGCCACTGTAGGGCTGAGTCTTGGGGTTGAGAGAGGATGGGGACTGGGCCAGGGTCATGGACAGGCCAGGGGGAAAGGTCCGTATGTTATGGTGGTGGTGGTGGGGGGAACGAGGCCTCAACTGGGATCTGAGAGACCTCTGTGTCTCCATCTGCGCAACGAGGAGGTGAAGCCAGTTGATGATATTCTGAGGGTCTGTAGTTCTAGTGGGAACACAGTAGAAGGGATGAGGTGGGAGTTGAGGTCATGGGGTGGCTCCAGGCAGGTGCCCTGAGCCTTGCTTCTTGGTCACCATGAGGCAGAGTCTAGCATGAGGCCCCTATTTAAGGAGCCCTGAGAGATCCCCTGTGGACTGACTTTGGCTTGCTGTATGACTCAGGGACGTCTCTTTGCCCCCCACCCCACCCCCAGCTCTCTCTGGAGTGGCACGTGTAAGACCCAGGCTCCATCGGCGCCCTGGGTAGTGATTCCCCACATTCCCCCACGCTTTGCAGCTTGCTCAGCACCTCCTCACACGTGGTCTCGCCTTCCACACCCATTCTGACTCCTGCTCAGTGATGCCGAGTTCTGGGCTGGCACCCTGCAGGAATGAGACCTGGGCCCTGCCCTGAGGAGGGGAGCTGGGCTAGTGCAGGGGGTGGCACTGGGCAGAGCAGAGGTCACCTTTGGCCAGTCTTTTTGGCTGCTTAATCTATCACAAGAATCTTAGCATCAATGGTGTCAAGATGTGATTTTAATGCCGTGTGTCCCTGTCTGCTCCCCCTCCAGTTAGATTTTTTATTACCCAATGGAGGGTGAAATGGGAACCCTTTTCAGTATAATCATCCTCGGAGAGTAGCTTTTATTATTCCAGGGAAGGGAACTTGGACAAAGAAAGGACATGTCACCTGTCCTTGGTCACACAAGAAATGGTGGGGCCAGGATCTGCGCCTGAGTCCACATGCCCTTTGCTCGGTCAGGCAGTGGGAAGCAGGAGTGACCAAGCCATTGACCCTTCTTTCCAGGCTCCTCCCCCAACAGCCCCACCTCCAAGCCCTTCCAGGGCCCCAATCTGCCCTTGAGCAGATGGGGCCCTGCTCTTGGTTGCTCAAGGGTATTTTGAGACAGGGCCCTAGAGCCAGAGATGTCTAGGTTCTTAGGGGGGGCTTGCAAGGGCATATTAATGATGAGTCAGATGAAGAAGGGTGCCTGCTGCCCAACCAAGGGCTGGCCAACCAGCCTGTCTGGGGCCCAGGTCCCAGACTGGAGGTGCAGGCTATGGCCACCAGAGCCTGGAGCTACCAGACCCACTCACTTTTTCTGACTCAACAAGACCCAAAGGGTGTATTCTTTACTTTTTCTGTGTTTGGATTTGAATGCTGGTTTGCTCCAGCCGGAAGCCCCAGGGGCCTAGTGGTTATGCATTGGGCTACTAACTGCAAGGTCAGCAGTTTGAAACCAAAGATGGACTTTCTACTCCCATAATCAGTTAGACTCTTGAAAACTCACAAGGGGCAGTTCTACCCTGTCCTATAGAGTCACTATGAGTCGCTATCAACTCCATGGCAGTGAGTTTGGTTAGGGGATTTTGCTCCTGCCCTCTGTCCTTCCCAGGATCAGGGTTGGTGTCATACCCCAGCCCTGCTCTGGACGGCAGCTCTCTGGAAGGGGAAAGTCCAGCCAGCTTGTCCTCTCTGCTATTTCTTGCTGTTACCCAGCTTTATCTCTTTTACCATGGACTGGGTGGTGGAGAGGTTCACTGCCTGATCCCTGCTCTCCGGTGGGATGCTGGGACATAGGGGACCTAAGAAGGCCGAAGCCACCAGGCCAGTAGTCCCTTCCCCCCACCCTCACCCCTTCAAGGAATGTGTCAGAGGCTATAGACCACCAAGCAGGCTTTGGAACTCCCAGAACCTGGAAAGGAGGCAGGGCAGTGGCTTGCCTAGAGACCCCCACCGAGTGGAGCCAGGTGCCTACCTGAGAGCCAGAGTCCTGCCCTCCTGAGTCAGCCCCCTCACCAGTCCTTGCCAGACTCGAAAGGATGTGGATTAGGATGGGGGTCCCCAACACTGCAGATCGGAGGCCTGTAGCTCATTGGACAGAATCAACTTTCAGACTGTCCCCTCAGGTCACTTGCCATCGGAGCTCCCTGCTCACCCCACTTTTTAAAGAAAAAAACCTCTTTGTGTGTGTGTGTGAATTGGTTTAAGCTTTACAGAGCAAATCAGTTATCCATTCATCACGTCAGACAGCTTGTTTCATGTCACTGATGGCAATCCTCACAGGGTAACATCTGCCTCTTTTCCAGTCTCCATTCCTGATCCTTCTTAAACTTTCTGCCTGTGGCCTTGGGTATACCTTTGATCTCAAACAGTGACTTATTCTCACCCTTCACCCCATCCCCACTCATTTTTTTAAATTGAGCCTGATTCACAAACATCACAGAGCTCTAAGCACTTCAGGAAGAAACACCTCTATTTGTGAACTCCTTGTCTTTCTCTTAGCACCTTTAAGAAAAGCTGTACCAACCTAGAACTCTAGGATGCTGAAGCTGTGAAGGGCCACGAGGTTCTAAGTTCTGATTCCTTCATTTCCCAGGGAAACTAAAGCTCAGTGAAGACTGGGGCCGCCCACCCGGCATAAAAAGGTATTCAGGGTTGGGAGGAGGCAGAGACCTGAGTTCTGGTCAGAAGGACCAGAGGGACTCTATGTATGGTTGGGAGGAGGCAGAGACCTGAGTTCTGGTCAGAAGGACCAGAGGGACTCTGTATGACACTGAGCAAGTGGGGGGCTCCCTGGGCTCTGTTAGGAACTTTGCCACAGGCTCTCCCAGCTCCACTGTGGTTCCAGAGCCAGCCTTTGTAGGGGTGACAGGCATCTCACAGAGGTGAGTGAGTGCTCTCAGCAGTGGGCCTTCTGCCCTACTCCTGTGGGCTCATCCTCAGAGTTGAGTGGCTGGCCTCAGAGTGGAGGGAGGTGGAGGAGGGGGAGAGGGGGCTGGCAGTGGGCAGCCTTCTGGCTGGAGGGCTGGTAGGTAGACACAGCTCTGTGTGACTGTGGGGTGCTGGCCTGCTCCCCCTGGTGTCTAGGGAGGTACCTGGGAGCCCTGGAAGGCTGGTCCCAAAGTGCCTGAGAGGTTAGTGTAGTCCAAGGGAGGTCTGTCTGTATGATGGGGAGGGTGGGAGGTAGACAAGGGCCAGCTGTCCCTGCCTGCAGACTGGCCAGAGGGGGAGCTCCCCAGTGGGAGTGAGGCCTGAGTGGAGGTTTTGCTGAAGTGTGGCCGGTGTGTAAAGCGTGAGACTCCTTCGTTGGGGTGTGGGGGCTCTGTGTGCCTGGAGGTTATGGGAGATGCAGGCAGCCCGTGGGCATCTTCGGGTTGCTGTGGGGCTGCCCTCTCTGGAGTCATCTGTTGATTATTGTGTGTGTGTGGTGTATCAAACTCCGGGTGTCTGGGGCGTGGTGTGGGGGTGCCTGTGGGCTGAGCTCTGGGGACCGCATGCCTGTGGGTTAGGAGGCTGGTGCAGAGGGGGTACCTGGGAGAATAGGAGTGGGTGCCTAAAGAAAAAGGGCTTCACAAGGAACTTCCAGAACCCGTCCCTCCTCCTCCAGAGTCCACTCGATCTTGTGCCCTGTTCATCCTGCCCCAACCCCTCGCTGGAGGACAGGTCCCTCCGCGGCGGCCGGGTCCTCTCCCGGCGCTGACGGGGCGGGCGCTAGGACCCTGCGGGGCGGGGCGGGGCGGGGAGCT